AGATGGTGCTGTGGGTGTTGCTGCCTCTGCGCCGTCCCTGATGGGTTCATCTGGGGCATCCCAAGGGTGCAGCCCAGCATGGTTCTGGGTGGTTTTGGGGTGTCTCCATGGGGCTGTTTGACCCTGAGCTGGTCCTTTAGACAACCTCCAGCTCCACCTGAAGAGCAGCAATGGCCCCATCGAGGTGTACCTCTGCCTGGAGGAGATCACGGAGGAGAGCCCCACCAAGGTCCACAGCGTCCCCTCTGCTGCCACCTCCCCACAGGACCACGCCGTATCCCCTTCCCAGCAAAACAGCCCCGGACCAGCCAAACAGCCGCCCCACGCTGTTCCCGAAAGCTGGGGGGGCACAGGAACCCCCTCCTCACTCCCATCTCTGCCTCTCACTGACACAGGGGGGCCCAGCTCGTTGCTGGATGTGGAGGCCGGGCTCCTGGGCTCACCCCCGCACCTCCTGCAGCAGACGGAGGACCAGCTGCCCTGCACCCCCTCCCACCTGGACTCGGGACCCTTCGTCACCTTCTCTTCCCCCCTGGAACAGGATGACTACCTCTGGGGGCTGGAGGGCGAGGGCATCAGTGACCTCTTTGAAGCGTACGACCTGGGGGACCTGCTGAAGCACTGAGCCCCCCTGCCATTGCCTTTTTCCCCTCTGGTGACTTGTGTCCCGAGTGTGTGGGGTCTCTGCAGGGCAGCTGGTGAGTGTGGGGCGGGGCGGGGAGTGTTGGATTTTCTGAGGGTGGTGGTAGGGGCTCATGTCAGCCATGCTGGGTGGCTTCTTGCGCTCCTGGGTTGGTTGCCACCTGGGGGCTGTTTGTCCTGGGGAGGTGTAAGCCATAATCCCCCACTGCCCTGGGGCTGCTGGCAGACTGGGGCTGCCTTTGGGTGCACGGGGAGGGTTAGGGGCACCCCTGGGTGGCAGAGAAACCCCTGCCCAGAATGGGCCCTGTTGGGGGGGGTGGCATGTTTTGGGGCCACTCCAGTTGCTCCCCAGTTAGACTGGTTCTTCAGGGTCATGACGGGTTTTGAGCGGCGTTTCCCCCGCCGCGGCTGGAATATCCTTAAAAAAATAATCAGGCACCTTTGGGTGAAGAGAGGATAAAGCTCACGTGCGGGCACTGCACCCACAGCCTCCAAAATCAGCGGCTCCGGCAAATCCCTGTCCAGGACATGGAGCCGTATTTCCCAGGGGGCTGTGGCCCCTCTCCCCCAGCCCTTACCATCTCCCTCCAGTCTCTCAGAGCTATTGGTGCTGGGGGTTATCAAAACTGGAGTGTACTGGGAGGATGGATGCAATCAACTGGTGGCTGGAGCATCACCTGCAGAGAGGGGCTTGGGAAGCAGTGTGGGACAAGCCCCCGGACATGGGGCTGGATACGGCTTTTAATTGTGCCATTGCAAAATGTCTGTAATTATTGCACTGTATTTATACGGGACCCCCCCTTTCGGCAAGGGTCGGGTTGGTATTTTGACTTTTAAGCGAGTGTATTTAAGTTGCCCTTCCTTGGGTTGGTTCTTCTGCGGTTTGGCTTGGAGGCGGCGTGGGTGAGAGTGTGTTTTGGCATGGAAAAACTTGTGGCACTTGATGTTTTCTGCCCGGGAGGGCATGAAATAAAAAAAACTTTGGAGTTGTAAGGGACTGTTTTCCTATAAGCAGCAAAATGCTGGGGCGGTTTGGGAGGAGGGAGGTGTTGGACTGGTTTTGCTCCCATTTTCAGTGTAAAAAAGCCTGTTTTGGGGCCTTTTAGCTGGCCAGCCTGTTCCAGAGGAGTTGGTGGAGAAGGGGGTTGAGGTGAAGCTGTGGCTGGAGTGAGGGAAACGGGTCCGACCTGCTGCAGATCGGTGATTTCCAGCCCAAATCCAGCCGGAATGAGCCTTTGCCTGAGCTTGAGCCCCTTGAACCAGGAGCGTGGGAAAAGCCCCGGGGCCAGGGGCTGGGTCCCTGCGGGTACCGGAGCTGGGACGGGCTTGTGCACCCGGATTTGAGGGCAGGTTTGGAGGCTGCAGTGCGAACCTCTGGCAGGGCCATGCCCATGGAGGGTCCTTCCCCAGGCTGCTGCCCCATGTCGTGACCTTGGTGGTGATGCCAACAGTGCTGATGGCATGGTGCTGGTGACATGGTGATGGCTGGTGGTACCTGGTGATGTCCGGTGGTACCCGGTGGTGCTCAATGGTACCTGGTGATGGCTGGTGGTACCTGGGGTCGTGGCACATGTTGGCTTGCCTAGCGAGGAGGAGGAGGAGACCCCCGGGCCGGGTAAGATGAGGGAGGGGCCCAGAGTGCTGTAGCCACGCTCCTGTCTCGTCCCTGTCCCCCGTGGGGCTGCGGAGCAGCTGGGGGGTGTCCCCGGGCTGTCGCCCCCTGCAGTCCCCGGGCCGGCCAGGAGGTGGCAGGGCCACCCCAGCAACGGGGCTGTCCCCAGCCCCACGCCC